TTTTGAGGTATCCAACCACGGAACAATTTAACTATCAAAATATTAATATTATCTAAAATCAAATCCTAATAATAAAGCATTATCTGATAATTATCCAATTTTGTTAAATACTCGATTATACTAGATAAATTTTTTGCATTTAGGTACCCGTTTAATAGCTTGAACTTAAACCAAAATAAAAAAATTATCTTAATTCATATGTGCATAATTTACTAACAATTAAAATTTAAACCACAAATAATTTTATATCCTTCCAAAACCCCTAGCCTCGGTCCATTTATGAAAATTTGTTTCTTGCAAATTTATGAAACCTTTACATTACATGCTTAGAAAATTTATGAAAGTTTTCCCTACTAGGAGTTAAATTTTACATATTTAAGTTTGCATCATAATTCAATTTATATAAATTAATTTTATATTTATTAATTACAAAAAAAATAGATTAATTGAGATGACAAAGAATGTGTTAAAGGTCAAGAGGAAAAGTTCAAGTCTCACTAAATTTAAAAATTTTGTAACATTATATGTAACTAATCAAAACTTACTCGAACTCATGTGAAGTTTTAAAAACTCCTAATTCATCACATAAAACTCTTACCTTAATTCTCTCCATAACCAAATATAAGATATTTAAATCTTATGTTATCGAATTGGGTATTTGTAGGTACCCATAAAACAACAACCCTAAATATAAAATATTCAAATTTTATATTATCGATTTAAATACTTACGAGTACCTATATAATAATTACTCATTTACATTTCTAAATCTAATATAATTTTATATTGTAATATCAATTTTTTTATATGAAGGTAATATATCTTGCCTTTCAAGTGTGATATGTCTTATTTGCCTAAGAAAGGTAAAAAGGTCTCTAAGTCAATATTGGCATCCATGGTTGAAACCAAGTTTCACAAAATAGAAAATTGAGGGTTAAATTGCAATATTGGAGGATGAAATTGCAACAAAATTGAAATTCAAAGTATCAATGTCAATAAAATTGAAGTTGAGACACCTCAATTCTCATGCAGCCAGCTTCCCCTTAAACGTTACTCTTCCTTACACGACGGCGTTTCAGTCGAACAAACACATAAAAGGGTGTCGCTGCAAGGGATCGACGGCGACAACCCAAAATAAAGAACAGAAGAAAGAAGAGAACAGCAGCAGCAGCAGCAGTAGCAGCAATAATGGAGGAGGCAAGTGAAGAAAAGAAAGGAAGCGGTAGAAGCAAAGAAGGGACCGGTTTGTTGGGCCCTCCAACCTTCACGGACCTCCCAAACGGCAGGCTCAAGTGCGTAGAGACAGGCCATGAGATGGTTGTTAAAGACAAGGATTCCTATGCTCAGAGCAAACGTTGTCGTTTAGGCCTCATCGACTTTGCTTTGTCTCACTCTAAGCCTCCTCTCAACATGTTCAAACAAGACCCTCTTTCCCGGTAAAATAAAAACCGAAGCTTTCCTCCTTTAATTAGATGAATTGCGTTTAAGCTTTTCCTTATAATAAAATAGAGAACCAATTTTTATTCTTCTTTGTCAATTGTTTGAGCTATTTATTTAAGTTACATAAAGAAAAGGGTTATCAAAGATTGAAACTTTTAGCTAAAGCGAGCTATTCTATGAATACCCAGAATCAAAAAAGCATAAATTCATGTTTATGGTTAGAAATTGGAACCATTCCCAATTTTTTTAAGTTAAAAAACAATAGTTTTGGGAGAGTTGAAATCTAACCTCTAGAAAGTAGATATTTTAAATGGGACTTGGTTGGTTGCCAATGCCAGTTTCTGTTTTGAGATTCCAATTTCCAAAAGTTCTGAATATAGCCAAAATTGAGCATTCCATTAGGGTGAATTTGTACTTTGTTTAGTCTCTTTTTTTTTTCTTTTGATATTCCTAGGGGTAAGAGGAAATGCAGAAGCTGGGGCTGGAGCTGGGGCTAGATGCCCAGCCTTGCAGGAACCATCTGGGCCAAGCCCCAGGTTCACTTTCATGTGTTTCCTGCTAATATGTATTAGGGTGTTTTTATGTGTTTTTGATACTTTGTTGAGTTTCACTTTCATGTGTTTTCTGCGAATATGTTTCTAACTTCATATTTGTTTGTTTTTCAGTTCAAAGTTGATTTGTAAGTTAACTGGTGATACTGTCAATAAGTCCGAGGAACATATTTGGAAGCATATCAATGGGAAACAATTTCTCAACAAATTAGGTTAGTGTTGCTTTGGAGTTCAGTGGTTCATATATTAATTAGCATATGTTGTGATAATTCTTGGTGAATTCTTGTGAACAGAGCAAAAGGAAATGGAAAAGGAGTTAGCGAATGAAACCATGGCAGAGGAAGGTCAGCGGAAGCCAAAGAAAGAAAAAAAGAAGAACAAGAAGGAAAAAGCAGTTGAAGAAATTGTCTCTGAAGTTAGGGATTCTGCTGAAAATGAAAGTGATTCAGAAGAACTTGAGTTCTGGATGCCCCCAGTGGGCGATCGCTGGGACTTTGATGATGGAGGAGATCGATGGGGTTCTGGTTCAGAGTTGGAGGAAAGTGATGAAGAAAATGAAACAGGTGCGCTCAGCCTCTGTATTGAGCAGAGATACTTTTTATTTTTAAATAATCTAGGATCAAAATTGGCACTTTATAGTTTATGCTATATTTATGATGTCAATTTTTAGCAGAATAAGAATAGAGAACACTAAGGATGAGAATGATGAATAAAATGGCTTGGGAAAGTAATTGTAGAATGAATTGTGTTCATCATGTTCATTTTGTCAGCAGCTTGCTCATCCAGCCACGTTTATAGCAATCAAACCCTGATATCAGGTGGACTCTTTTGCATGTTAATCTCTTTGACAAGAAGTAATATGGTCATTATAAACTATCAGATGATTGATCAGGGAATCTTACATTTAAATTGTACTTCCTAGAGATGTTAAGAGGGTGTGCTAAGTTATTACTTTTATTAGCTTTCTCTGTAGATTGTTGAAACTTATTCTGCTGCTTTATGTAAGTTTACAACAATTAAAAATTAGGTAAGATTCTATTGGACCATATTTTGCAAACACAATTCATTTCATTGCATAACTCGTTGGGTTTTAAAAATTGGTTGCTTTAAGCTGCCAGGAGCTGATTTAGAAAATTTTGTTGAGCTATCCGATTTTATGTGATTGTGTCTGGTGCTCTTAATTTCATATATTTCCTTCATCAGAGGTGGCAGTTGAAGATGGTGGAAAGGAGTCAAAAGAGCTTTCTACGCGGTATAGTGCTTCATTTTTCGTTTATGATCATTCTATGTCTATCATCTCTGAAGAGCTAATGCATAGCTATTCTGTTCTTGTCTCTTGTTGCAGAACCAAGAGAATGTCCATAGAAATTGGACCCAGCAGCTTTGCATCTAGGAAGAAGAAGTGTCGGAAAAACACAAGCTAATATGGCCTTGTGCCTTCTGAAACAGAGTTTTTTTGGTCTGTAATTCATCAACAATTCTTTCAGATTTTGTTTGCAAAAAACGAAAGGAAAATCTGAATAGAAGTTTGTAAGACCTCTGAATAGAAGTTTGTTAGTGTCTCTCTGTTTATTGTTACTTAAATAAAACAGATATTTTCCTCATTGATGGAATTATCAGCCATGATTATGATAGTTATCTTGATTGTGATCCCTGTTATGGATCCTTTAATTACCCCATCTTTGTTCCTCACTCAATTATTTTTAGGTTACTTTTGAGATTTCTGACCACAGGTGTATCTCTTGTATTAGTGTAACTTGCCCTGGGGCTAGCCTTTTGATGTATTAAATTGGCCAGTGATCTTGATTTTGATCCCTGTTATGGATCCTTTAATTACCCCATTTTAGTGCCTCACTCAATTATTATTATTAATTTTTTTTTTTGAAGGGCATGAACATTTCATTGAAAGAGCTGGCAAGGGGGTTGCCAGAAAAAAGCAGAGGGTAGAGAAAATTCCTTCAGCTGCTAATCCCCTGTTACAAAGAGACCAAATGGGTCACAACATTCAGCCACAAAAAACCTATTAGTCCTCTGGGTCCTAAATGGCAACACGGTTCAGCCACAAAACACAAGAATAAAGCAAACGGGCAGAAAATATTCATGTCCACCTGCACATGCAAAATTACCTCCATCATCTATACTAAAAAGGGGAAAGGTTGGAATGAACTGGAAACCATCATAGATCATTATCATCAAACCAGTGGCAAGCAAAGCATTAAAAACCGCAAAGAATTTATCCAATCGCATAACAGTTGCTTTGGCCAGACCATCACTCATTATGTTACTTTTGAGATTTCTGACAACAGGTCTCTCTCTTGTATTAGTGTAACTTGCCATGTGGCCAGCCTGTTGATGCATTAAATTGGCCAGTGATCTTTGGTAATGACTAGCAAAGATCTTTCTGTTGATTGCTGTATCTGGGGAATTCTGTTGAGTGATTGTTAATATGCTTCTTGCTTCCGCATTTGGAATTAGTAGTTTTCCCAAATGGCATGTCATTATGGGTGAATTAGTTCCTAAAGTTTATAAAGCACAAAATAGTAGTTCATTGTTGTTGCTGATACATGTCGAGAAGTAGTTGACATCTTTTCTTTGGTTAACCATGAGAATAATGAATATAATTGCAGATGTTACTGTATTGAAAATATAGATGTCTTGTGTGTGGTTGATACTGAGCTATTCTATTCCTTCTCCTTCTGCAGTGTATTCTGGGTCATGTGTCCTCAATTCCAGGATTTCCTTGCCAACAGAGACATGATTTTTATTTCTTTCCACTCTCAATTCTTTTTTACTGCCATTTGTGAACTTTTCTATGTTTTTGTTAGCATTTTTTTGTTCTCTTCCAACTCTTGCTGTATCTGTTATTGAGATCATAGGTCGTGACAAGATTTTTCTTTAAAGAATTTGCATTCATGGGCATTTTTTTTATTTGTTGTGGTATTTTTATAGAAAATCTTTGCAGTCTATGTTGACTGGAAAACTTACATGGAGCTGTGGTCATATGTATTCTTTGGTTGGCCAACATGAAGATGCCTTTCAGTCTGTCACTGATGGTGTGTTATATACTGCCAAATAGTTGTGTATGCCTCGGAATAACATTGTTTTCCGAACGTTATTTTTTTCCACTATCTTACATAAACAATGGAAGTATGAAGAGAACAAAGACAGGAAAAAGGATGTACTAATTGCATATGCGACCACAACCCAAAATAAGAAAAATCCATAAATTCTGTTCATCCGTTCCACACCTCAGTATGTTTTGGTTCAATAAGGACAATGTTATCTCCCTTCTCGTCTATCCTTCCTCCACTCCCATGGCTTCTCAGGGTTTGATGACGCCCAGAGTCCGATTCGCTTTGCTCGAGCCTCCTTTTCCCACTATTATAACATAACTTATAAAGATCAGAATTAAGAGTTCTCAATTGAAGTGTAAGAATGAACAAATATTGTTGTTTACTCACAGTTGCAAGTTCAATGCGCTGGTCATAAGCCGCATAATGCCATGCAAATCCTTTCTTTAACATTACTTCCTATGATAGAGAGATTACTATATTAATTAGTTCATACTTTTAACATTACTTCCTATGATAGAGAGATTAGTAGATTAATTAGTTCATACTAGGTAAATCAAATGTCGTATACCTGCACAAAAATGCCATTGCAGTACACATCTGCCACGCAGCGACCATAACGATCTTCCCCATAGACAAGCACTCTCAAACACTTGCCATTAACAAGCTTAACCAACTCCTGTTTGGCTTCTTTTCCATATGGCATTGAATTCTCAGGTGCATCGATACCCCTGTTTTCAATAACCATCACTTAATAAGTTTAGGATATAGAAGATTGAACTCTTACAAGTAGATAACGTTACCTTAGTCGAATTCGATACTTTCGAGCAAGAATCTCTTCATTTTGAATACTTATGACCCTACATATAGATGACTGTTAGAAACCATTGGTCACAATTGGTAGTACTTAAATACTTCGATGAACAGGATTTGATTAGGGGAAGTTAAATAGCTAACTGATATCCCGATTCAATAATTTTCTGGCGAAGTTCGTCTGCCCTGGCATAATTTTTCTTAGCACGTGCTTTTGATCTTCGGACAGCAGCCAGAAGAACATCTCTAGGTACGCTTGATGACTCCCTAGGATCAGCAGTATTCACATACACATTTATACCATCCCCATCGGGTACTGTACTCCCATCTACCTGATTAAGTTAGAGAATGTTTCAGTTTCAAATCCAAAATATAACTAAATGGCTTTTTATATGAATTTTGTTGATTAGATCATCCTTACTGGTAGTGTATGCATTTCAAACTGCACCCCTTCAGGCAATTTTGTTGGAACTTCAGACAAAATTTCCACCAGGGTTGAAGGATAAGGAAGACCATAGAATTCCAGTAAACCCTTAATACATTAGAACACAGAGCATCCCCGCAATGCATTAATTCTTTTTTCTTCTATTCTAATAAAAATGGAACAAGAACAAAGTTTTGGGACTGTTGGCATTTTGTACCTCAACATCTGCCTTTTGATGTCTATTCAAGGTCTGAATAACAAGCCTAGCAACCTCTTCAGGCGTTTTGGGTGGAGGTTTTGCTTTTCTCCATGCCTGGAGTAGCTTTCCATACCTTAACGTTGATAATTTAGACAGATCATAAATTTAGACAGTGGAAATGAACTGGATTATTGTTGATGATCAAATAAGAAATTCAGATTATTCAATCAACGGATACACTCTCTAAGACAGATTATTCATGCTAGTTACCACTTAGCCTGAGCCTTCCTCGATGATACAACATGCTGACTGAGACCTTCAGGAACCTGAAACCAGTTTACAATTTAATGAACTGATGACAAAATTTGACAAACACATTTCACTGTTTAGCTAACAAAGTTTACAGAGGAAAAGTAGAAAAGACACGAATTAACCAATAACTATTAAATAAAATTACTGTAAGCAAACCGAAGAAGCAGAACAAGAAAATAGGGCTGGATTGCTCCAGGAATGCTCATGAAATCTACCTGGGAGGTGATTTCAAAGTTGAAGAGATCATGGGCAAGAGCTGAAACCCCAGAAGCAGTTGTGGTATAAGGTGGTCCTAGAGAATCAGAGTCTCCTGAGGCGGTTTGTTTGTAGCATTTCCCGTATAGGAACCTAAGAGCATTTCCCATGCTGGTATCTTCTCAAATTCTCAACCTGAACTTTTGCAGGAGCAGAGATTTTGGGGACTGAGGAGAAGAGAAAGCTCGGAGAAAAGCAAAGGAAGACTTCTGGTAGACTTATGTACTCTTTGATAGTCAAAGCATCCAATGAATTAAATGCAAACTCCTGATGGTACTGCTCACCTTCACTCTTGACAATATTTTATTAGTATCCTTGTTCCTTGTCAACCTTAACACCAATAATTCTTTTCTATTTTGGCACATAGGAGAGATAGAAGTAGGTAGAGATAGAGTAATTTAATTGACTGTGACAAGATTTTTGTTTAAAGAATTTTCATTCAAGGACATTTTCTTTTATTTGTTTTGGTATTTTATGGATTGCAGCAGAGTATAAAAAGAATTCCTTTTCATTGTTCTTAAAATGACCCTCAATGATTTGATTTCTTTGAAAAAAATTGCAATCTATGTTGACTGGAAAATTTACATGAAGCTCTGTTCCTGGACTCCTACCACATATGGCTGGCTGGCAAAAATATGCTGACTTGATTTCTGAGAAAGTCTTAGCAGTTTGTTGACTAGAAAATTTAGATGAAGCTCTGTTGCTGGACTCCTACCACATAAGACTGGCTAACAAAAATATGCCAGTGAATCGTCCTCTCTTCCAATAGACATACAAACAGAATGGACCAGCCCATAATCTTTACACTACAACTACACTGAAAATTGACAGACATTGCATGCACCCGAAGCTAAGTAGCAAGGAGAAACAAAACCTGCAGGGCAGCCTGTTTCCTTTTCTTGCTTAGCCTTGCGCGCATTCTCTACTTGCAGACAATCTGCAATTGTCCACATTATAACAGCCACTTAAACAAAATATGACCCTGTCTCCTGCCAACCCTATCTTCTCCTACCAACTTATCCACCAATCCTTGCCATCCAGCATTCCAATGGTTAACCTATCATCCATGTTTCATCCAAATCTGGTTCGTTTCCATCGTAACAATATTCCATTTCATCTCCACCATCACCCAATTCCATCCAAGAGCATCCACCAACTGAAAACACATAGCCAAAGTGAAGAGTTTGAATACTCTCTGGGAATGGTTTTATTGATTAGTATTTATGTGGTTATATACAAGTTACAACATCAATATAAAAGGAAAAATAATCTGTACAATGAAGTGTATTGTCTAAATAAAGGTAATGTCCTATAACTAGGCCAACGATTAAGGAAATCATATCACTAAGTATAGGCCTACAATTAAGGAAATATATCTCTTTGGCCATGGCATCATGCCAATGCTACATTTTGACTACTTGAAAGAATGACTTCGACTCATCAGTTGTAGAGATGGCCACTAAAAACATATTGTGAGTTCTAGAAAATTTGGAGTAAGAAATATTGGGAGATAAAAAATATACTGTCGAGTTGGCCGAAGGAGATGAAGAGTGTCAATCAAGAACAACAGTGTGCAAGGTATAATCATATCTAGATAGTTGCTTCGATATTGGTCGTTGTCGTTTGATAAGAATAATACTATGCTTTTCTGTATGTGATGAAGAAATTTTATTTTCCTGTATTACCATCCTTGGCTCAATCAAAAGGGAGGTAAGTGAATCGTCAGCGTGATTGACGTTGTTTTCCAAAGGTGTTGACTCTTAGGGTTACGGTGGTGATTTGTCCTCATATTTGGATACCTTAACTTCTTAGACTTGTTCCAAATGAGTTAGCATTGGTGAATTATCTATTGGCTTTTGTTGTATGGTACTTCCGAGACTTGAGTATCCATGCAATTCATCATATGGAATGGGAGAAGTGATTTGTGCATGCTAATTTGCATTCTTAGTAGTTGAATTGTTAACTTTTGTACTTGTTTTGTCAAATGGGAATATTTCTTCCCAAAATTGCACATCTCGCGAGATATATATCCTTTTGCTTTCAAGATCATGTATGCGATATCCTTTTTGTCTTGAAAGATAGCCTACAAAGATTCTCGATTTACTCTGAGAGGCAAACTTATCATGAGACATGTTATTGACACTTTCGTAACTGAGGCACCCAAAGAATCTAAGATGGTCATCGAAAAGAGATTTGACAAGCAATTTCTCATATGGGATCAAATTCTTTATAATTGAGAGTGGCATAGTGAGTACACATTCACCCCAAAAAGTAATGGGAGGTTTGGCTTGAAATCAAAGTGCTAAAAGAATTACCAAAAAAGTTTACATTAAAGGCATTTGAGGCCATGCTAACTGCTGGTCTAATATTAGAATTGGACTCATTTGACTGTCGGCCCGAAAGGTCCATTAGCTACTGATATTGGGCTTGTGTAAGCCTATGCGCAGATGAGCAAGACACGTGACTAGTGTCTGCAGTTCCCCCAACTACAAATTCACTAATTGACTTCCTTACCACATTGTCGGAGTTCTTGCTCGATCATGCACTTGTTCTCCCTTGGGTTTCAGTTTTTGCTACCAATCTAGTGGGTACCTAACGATCTTGTAGTAAGAATCACGGGGTATGGTCAGCTTTATCACAGTGAGTGCAACAAGAACGGGATCTTTTTTTTCCTCGTTGGTCATGCTGGTTGTTATCCCAATCCCTTACCTTTCGTTCACTACCACACTTAATGCCGTAGATTGCCTAGTTTCTCGTCATCACGGTAACTCCTTCGGGCACCATAGATCACGATACAACCACCGCCAATTACTTTTCTTTTTGTGCTACAATCATGTAAGCTAGTCCAACAGATGGCAAGGGTTCTAGACTAAGAATTTGTGAGTACACAGTTCTGTAGCTTTCATCCAATTCCATCAGAAAGTCAAATACCTTTCTTCCTCAGCATCTCCTGCATTTATCTCGAGACACCACAAGTGCATTTTCCTTAGGTGCAAATCGGTAAAGGTCGAAAAGTTTGTGCTTCATTCCATAAAGCTTTCAATATTCCATAATAAGTAAAGATTGGAAGCTTCTCTTGTTGTAAGATTGCAATTGCTTGCTTAAGTTTGTAGGCCCTAGGTGCAATGCCCTGAATAAACTGTTACTTGGGATCTACCCGTATTTCACTTTCATTTTCTGTATATACTACTTCTCTTTTCAAATTTTTAAAAATGTATTAATTAGTTAGGATAATACTATTGCATTACACTGTAACCAGTTTTGAAATTATGAGGAATTGATTTTTGATTTGAGAATCGATCCATCCACGAACCCTGTTTTGTTATTGATTGATCCATCCATGAACCTTGTTTTTTTCTTGGATTGGAAAGCATTTAAAAAGCTACAACTCCAAATGAAGTAATTATCTTCTAAGTGAAATTAGGCACGAATACATCAAATAGTACCTTGGTTGATATCAGATCCGGTGCTCCTTTCCCTTGAGAAATTGATTTTTTTTTTAATATAACAATAATAATTTTTTAAATTAATTAAAAAAAAAGTATTTTAATCGTTTCATAATCTCATTTGTACTCTTAGGACGAAATATCTATTTTTAAAATTAATGAACTTTCATATAATTTCGATCAATATTTAAAAAATAAAAATATTTTTTTTTATATGATACTTTTTAATCTTATTGACAGACGTCATCTTGTTAGTAGTGTATGCATCTCAAATCGCAGAGGTAATATTGTTCCGAGACCATGTAGACCTTGTGAACATTAGAATACAAAAGATTGTAGCAATGCATTAATACTTTTTTCTTCTATTCTAGTAAAATTAAAGCAAGCACAAAGTCTCGAGTACTTCAACAATATGAATAACAAGCCTAGCATGCTCTTCAGTTGCGGTTTTGCTTCTCAACTGTAATAGCTTTCTATACCTTATTGTTGAAAATTTAGATAGACCAATGGTCTAAATCAACCGGATTATTGTTGGTAATCAAACAAGAAAATTCAGTCAATTATTATGGAGTTTTAACTTGGACAGATTATCCACGATCTGCTACTTAGCATTGAGCTTGAGTCATCCATGATCTTGAAGCACCTGAAACCAGTTTACAATTTAATAAACTGATTAGGAAATCAAAGAAACAAATTTTATGTAATCTATAACAATTAAAAGGATTAATGCAAGCAAACAGAATCAATCAGAACAAGAGACTTGGATTTCCCCAAGAATACTCATGAAATCTACCTGCGATCATTTCAAAGTTGAAGAGATCAGCTAAAACCAGAGGCGGACCGACATGGAGTGCAGTGGAGTCAGATGACGCCACTGAAGTGTCAAAAATCTCGATTAATTATACTACTTATGCTAGAGTTTTATGTATTGGCAGAATTGGACTGATTTGAAACAAATTAGCCAGACGAAGGCAATAGCTTATAAGTTTCTTCTAAGGTGGTAGCATTGATCTAGCTGAAAGGCTTAAGCTTGGAAGCAAACTCATTAATCTTATCTAGCAGATAGGCTAAGGCCTAGAAACGAAATCATCAATCTGTGCCAAAGTAGCGATCCCCGAATTCTCCCATCCCTGGAATCACTCCGAAGTTCCTATCTAGAGATGAATCAATCTCTGATGTCACAATTTTTAGCTTTGGGAATTTCCTGCAGACTGTATGAATTCCTTCAGGTGCCTGCAAGTATCAAAGTATCAGAATTTGGGAATAGATGAGAAGTAGCAAGAATCAGAATGACTTACTGCTATAAGGTTTAGAAAGATGATGTTGGTTTCTTGAACGCCTTTACTAAGGAGCAGAGATATAGCCTTCACCGCAGAGTTTCCTAACCATGCATAGATTTGAGAAAAGTCATAGAATTTGATGAACAATGGTAAGTTTATGTTCTCAAACCTGAAGCCAGAACAGGGTCTAGCAATAAAACATGGCGGCTCGAGATGTCTGCGGGAAGCTTCTCATAAATTAACTGCAGCAATGTAATAGCTAAATTGAGAAAATTGTGCGGTGCATGTGCCTGTGTGAGAGGAAGAAAGACTCGTTGAACACAGTATTTGTCAATCTACCTGCCGCCCATTGTTTCCGTCTCCATGGATGAGAATTTTGCCAATTTTGATTCCCTTACAGCAGGCTCTAAGCGCATTCTCCATGCTTTCTCCACTGGTAACAGGAAACTAGAGTTATTATCATTCATCAACAACTTCTGTAAAGGAACAAATAACAATAGCAATAACAACTGGTAAATGACCTACTATAGGTCCAAGCAGACCAACATATGGTGAGGATTGGCTCAGTATGTAGCTGACATGCTCAACTGGCAAGAGCACGGCTTGGAAGTATTGAGAACAACCATGTTTGAAATTAAAAAGAAAAAAAAAAACAAAACCATATCAACAACTTGATTGTCACCAACCTTCTGATTACAGAGACGCCACATAACCTTTTACAGAACACAACTCCAGGATACACAGAACCTGCAAAGCAATCAAAGAAGAGAACTAAGCTGAACTATGTAATCTAGAGGATGAGAGAGACCTGGTATGCAGGGTGCACATTTATAAGTGTCAAGCATATGGCATGAAACTAAGAGAAAATAGCATGAATGTGAGTCCTGTCAGAGAGACAGACAGAACTATAAATGCTGAAGAAATAAACATTAATGTGTGACCTCTTATCTGAAAAAACATGAGAGGACATGATACTAGCAGTTACCTGTGGGTGTAATGATCTGTTTCTCTGTGAAAGGAAGGTGCCCTAAACCATGCTCCACAACCTGAAACATGGATTTCAGACCAAATGATTCCACATCATGCTGATAACTTTGACAAACAATATTCCTGTAATTCATGCCAGGCTCTTTACCAAGCGAATCAATCGATCTGCATAGAAGACAAAGTCATGCTTTGTTGTTTTGACATCACGGACAAGGGTGTGCATTCCCCGAATCTGGACTCAATTCCAAAATGTTATCCAAGCCATCATGGACCTTAGAAGAATAGATAACTGAATGAAGTAAACAGGCCATGCTACCTGAAATGTCGAAAATATAACAAAAATATTTGGATATATCTTGCACAGATCATGCTGGCCGAGCTTGGTCCGGATATGCTGTACTATCAAATCAATTGCAACATCATTATCTCCTCCCCTGGGGATGATAACATCTGCAAACTTTTTCGATGGCAGTATGAATTCTTCAAAACTTGGCTTGACAAATCTAGCATACTGCAAAGTTACAGAAGATTGGTAAGAAATTCCTAAACAACTAATTGCATGTCAATGTACAATCAATGAGATGAACCAGTACAGGAACTACTACTAGAAAAAGGGGAACAATTAAAAATGACAAAGACTAACTTGATCAAGCACATTCTGAATATTCCTCCCTCTTTCAACTGTATCCCGTTGAATTCGTCTTGAAAGCCGCACATCAGAATCTGCTCTGACAAAACTTAGCCATGAATTACTCCATGAATACTATACATGATGTATGTCATCAATTTTAAATGCATTCAAAAACCTACAAAATTAATAGGAAAAATTTATAAACCTGTATCAACAAAGATCTTCATGTTCATAAGATTGCGAACTTTAGAATCGTGCAGAACGAGAATTCCTTCTAAAATGATAACATCCGAGGGATTGACCTACATTAAATCAAAACCAAACAACCATAATACTTCACATTTGTTAAATTTAGAGTATTCTGCGTAGATAAATCTTATAAACATTTCTCTACATATTGTGAATTGGTTTTGAGTTGATACTCATCCTCAAACTTAACATAGTATCATAGCAATCAATCTCCCAGAAATACATTAAAAAGTAGGTAAATTTCTTAAATTATACCAGACACAATGGTTCAATGCTTCTACGGCTCTTGAAATCATAGCTAGGAATGCGAACTGGTTGTCCCTTCTGTAATTTCTCCATACAGGATACCAAAAGCTCAGTATTGAAAGCATCTGCAAAAGAAAACAAATTAAAATACATAGAAAAAATTTAATTTATAAAAAATAAAACAATTAAATTGGAGAATTTTGCTTTAGAGGCTTTACCAGGATGATCAAAATTGTATTCATGAGCTTTCTTTAATTGTTCTTCGTTGAGTGAGCGATAAAACGAATCCTTCGAAATTTGAAAAAAAAAACAAATTTATTAATAAAAAATAAAATTAAAAAAAGAGAGAGAGAGAGAAATTAAAAGATTTACTTGATTAACGAGAACAACGCGTTGATCACGAAGTTGTGAGATGATCATGTTGCAAACCGTCGTCTTGCCTGATGCAGTTCCTCCTGCAACTCCTGGATAAATTACATTGTTCAATTTCTCAAGAAAAATTCAAGAAATAATAATAAAATTTAGAAAAATGGAAAATCGAGAGGAGATGGAACCTATGACGAATGGTTGCCTGTGACTGAGACTAGTAGAATCAGAGCCGTTGGATTGGACTGAAAGGTGATCTTTGATTCCGTTACTTATCGCACCGATTGTTTCAGAATCCATCATCAATCAAAAACAAATGAAAAATTAAATATTAAATTATCTGAGAATGAGAAAAAAAATTGATATTTGAAGCTTTCTCTGTAATTTTCCGGTTCCTCTTTTGTGCTGGTCGTGAGAAAGAAGAGAGCGAATTACGCGGGAAAAAGCTTACGTGGCTTTTTTGTTTAGTTTGATTTGCCCTTCCAACTTTAGTCTTAACATAAAAAGTTTTGCCTAGAATAGAAAGGCAAATCAACCTATTTTAAAATAAAGATGCTGGATTTAATTAATAATTAATTACCAAAATGAATGCTGGATTAAAAATTATATAATTTAGCTCAAAAAATTGTTAGATCAATGATACCTGGACTAGAAGGTTTCAAAACACTTGCTAAAGGATTCAGGTAAGTCTTTATTCACAAGAGAAGAGAACCTTGGGTTTCTGGTGAATCAGTGTGAGCCCTTAAACAAGATATATTTCTAACAGGTTTTGGAAGAAAAAAAATGTTTACAAATACATCTGAAATCAAGAATATTATACAAAGGTGATATTGGTTTAAGGAATTTAAAAATTACATCCCATTGAGTGCAAAAAATCTCCTCCAGATGTATCTGAGCTTTGCTCTTTCTTTTCTTTTAAGGATTGTGGCTCTGTGTGCAGCAGGCAGCAGGCAGCAGGCAGTATATCTATATCGCTGCACGTTATACAAGATGACAATTCGTCTTGAGCTTTGGTCCTGTTATCCCTCTTGAAGGATAACAAAAATCTTCATCTCAAATGGCAATTAAACTTCCTCTTCCATCAGTGGCTATGACTTTCCAGAGTGCAACTAAAATTTTTGAAAGCAAATGACGACAAAAAAACCGATTTAGACAATAACCAAAGCTTCAGTTCAATATGATGTCTATCCTATAAAATTAGCATAAAAAAATCAGTATAAATTACTCGCAAGACAATCAGAAAATGTATAGATTTAACTATGTAGACTACCACAAATCCAGGAAAGATATTAGGCTAAGTAAATACCTGACAGAAAAAAAAAAGTACATTCACATCGTCATAAACCCATCACTCCACAACTTCTTTCTGGCAATTAACACCCTTTCTTCACCAGCAGAGAGAGCATCAGTTCTTGGTTCAACTTCTGATAACCAGCCATCCCATCGCAAGGCAGTGATAAATTTCTGGATATGATTTATCATTGAGTGCTTATCTCTTATAATAACAAATCCATCTGGTCGAAGTATTCTGTCCATTTCAATCAGGAGGTCCTCTGCACTACAGCCACGCTCCTCAATCTCAGAAAACACTGCCCAGGCATGAAGAAGATCGTATGTTCGTGGGTATGTAGAAAAAGCTTCACACCTACAAAAACAAAGGTGTAAAAGATGAACACATATCCGAGTAATGATATATGATATAAAGAGCCAAAAATCAGACATGCAATTTTTTCCATAACTAAAGGAAAGGAGGAAGATGGAGTCAAGGATGTATATATATTTAAAATAAATGCATACCAATCATGAACGGTTCCTAACAAGCCTCGGTCATAAATAATTTTCAATCTTGCAGACATTTTGACGGGAGCAACATTCATTACCCAGACATCTTTATCTTTAAGGGCAGCAGCAAAACCCCCAAGGTTTGAGTTCATATCCAAGACATTTCTGAAGGAATTCTTCTGTATAATAGATCTCATCTGCTTCCAATACTCAACCACTCTAAAATGCCATATTTTCTGTATCATAAGAATTTGTTAGTCACCAAAAGGCTAAGGCTATATACAGAAAAGTAATAGTCAAATCAAGATGAAGAAAGCTGGGCATAACCACACCACTTGAAATTCTTATATGATCTCAGAAACTTACGGTGTCTTCATGGAATTCCTCGGGACTAACACCAATTTCTTCAAGGCGAGGTGGTGCTGTAGTAAGCCTCTGTGGCCAAGGAAGTAGTCCACTCCATCTTTCTTTATGCATCTCTGTATTATCATGCAAGAATTGAATTAACACTAGGGAAGAGTCCTGATCCTAGTTTCAAATTTTACAGACAGGAGATCACTATCATCATGTTGTTGGGGCAAATTTCTAACAACGGGTCAAATAGATTGTAGAACAAGAAAGCAACCCACCACTTTCAATCCCATCTATATCCACATGGTAGTTCTACTTACTTGCTGAGTATGGAGTGATGCATGCCTTCATAGACACATTCCAACTTGCATCTGGGTCATCGCCAGAACTGCACAAAGGAGGCCGAGTCCCAGGATCTCTCTTCAAGTAACAACTATTGCTAAGAGGCTTCGCCCATATAACAGTTTGGCCTCTCTTCACAGCAACTTTCCAGCACATTCTTTTCAAAAGGTTGTACATAGCATTCCAGATCTTTCTGTTTTCTGGATCTTGTTCATAGGCTTCAGGAGAAGAATATGCAAAGTACCCTCCTGGTCTCAGTAATCTGTCAAGTTCCAACAGAAGAATCCCATCTCTCTGAAGCCAGTCAATTCGGCATCGTGAACAATGAGCCAGCTCAAATGATCTGCTTGGATAAGGAAGCCTTTTTGTTCCCAACACACCAAGGGTTGATGGGATACCCCTTTCTAGTGCAAATTGTATTTGATTCTCATGTACATCATTAGGTGCAAGGGACATAGCTATAATATCAAGGGGTAGGAGATAGGCTCCAAAACTTGCAACTCCACATCCCACATCAAGAACATTTCTAATACTTCCACCGTTGTGCAGTTTATCCCCAGGAAATTTTAGCATCTACACAAAATAAAATGATTCCACATCAGCTAAAAAAAGATCATATCTCTTATATGAAGGAAAAGTTGCAATTATTGGCCCGGTCAAGGAGCAATAGTTCATTTTCCCAAAAACAAAATGATCAGATTCTACCAAATGCATAACATTATTTCCGTTCTTGCCTATTGGCAACCAACCAAAGGATCATTCACCCTATTACTAAGATATACCTGAGCAAGACCGGTGATGTACTTATCAGCACCATCATGAAAATGGGTTCCACCACCAGGAAATTTTATTTTCTCCCCATCAACAACCATCCAGTGCTGGTCAGATTTCTCCTTTGCAAGATGCGTATGGGGTATGTTTGCTTTCCACACTTCATCTCTACTGGCAGGCCATCTTATAGGGATCTGAAATTCTAAAAGCAATTTCATTGGTATCAAAAGTAACTGAAACCGTAAAAACCCAACCTCTTAGCTTAAGCAAAAAGAACAATTACCAACCTTGTAACCTCTTGGTGGGGGGATTAAGCAATTGTAACGACGCTCGGGTGGTGGACAATGCCGTTCATAGTGTTCCATTACTGTCAAATTAGGCTTTAATTTCAACTGGTATATAAGGTTCCTATCTAAGCAGGGTATCAACTCTGAATATTTTATGTCACATATCTGTAAACTCATAAAACACCATCATTTAGCTAAATCAGTAAACAAAATCCAGAAGAAACTTAATTTCATTTGATAATTAAAAACTAAAAAATTATATAGAACACAAAATCAACAAAACCCACATTAAAAACAAAAGAAAATAGCAGTCTTTAGTGAAATATAGAGCTGAAAAGCAAACATATGGGAAAAAATTCCCAAAAATGAAAATTCAACTAACATAAATGCTGCACTTACAGGGATGCTTTTAGGAACTTCCGGGTAGTACCCTCGCTCGTCAAGCAAATCAACCAAATCCCGGTTCCTTGAAACCCCACCAAAAACCGGGTCCGATCCATCCAACCGAGAACCAGTCTCATCGGATCTCCTTGACCCTGGAGCAAATGAAGATCCATAGTACAAACAAAGTAAACCGAGAACCGCGATTAACCCAATTAAAACATAAGTTAATAGCTTTGTAGTGTGAATTTGCTCGTTCTTTTGCTTCATTTTAGGACCCGGAAATCCCAAATTCTCCCGACACACTTCAAGCCCTAATTTTTTTCCCCTTTTTTTAGTGTTAAAATGAGAGTGAGCTTACAAGAAGCTCTCCCCAGATTTAGGTGGGCTGATTTTCGCGGGATTGAGTTGAAGAGAGGGAAAAAAGGGACAGGATCCGGTGATTTTTTTGCGGTTCTTGCGAAGGATCACCTGCGGCCGAGTTGATTCGTTGAAAAAGTTTAAACCAATAATATGTTTACATGTGGCATCAAAGGATAGGTCACGGTTTGACGTTTGACTGATATCTGACTGAGGAGGGGTAGGAAGGTCTTTATATGACTGAGTTTGATTAAAATGTAACGCGTTCGGGAAGAAAGTGAAGCATACGGTCAAATTGGAACGATTCGTGGAATTCACAAAGAGCGTAAGAAAGTGGAAAGTTTGGCTGAGGTTTAGGTGGAAAATAGATCAGGACAAGATCCCAAGATCAGCTTTTGCTTGTGAAGTGGTTTAATTTTGATTCTACCCATTGGATTTTTCTAATTAAACTTTATTGTTAATGATTAATTAATTTTCAGTAGAAAATTGTTTTATTTTTTTTCTTCGTGACTTTACATCAAGTTCACTTGTAACCATGTGATTAATAAAGTAAAATATTTTTAAAATATTTAAAAACCCACTTTTAACAATACAAAACATAATCATTATTTAGTTATGTACCTAGATTAAGGGATGTATAAAAATCGGTTCAAATCAATTTAATTAAATTAATATACAAAATTCAATTAATTCAATTTGATTAATTTGGTTAAAGAAGTCGGTTTGATTTGGTAAAAAAAATTTTAAGTTAGTTAATTGAATTAATCAACTTTAAATGAGTAAAAAATTATATTATTTATTATATAATAGTTGTTTGTTGGTTTATTTATTATGTAATTAAATATAAAAACAAATGAGTTTGAATACATTCAAAATCATGACTATAAAGAAATATTAGTTAAATAAATTAAAACCGAATTAACTAAATTAAGTCAACTAATTAATTAATGTAAAAAAATTGATTGGTTTAATTAAAATATACAAAGAAATCGATTAAGCCGGGTAATAATATTTTTTATTTAAATATCTCATTTATTAATATTCATTGGGTCTCTTTTATTTAAATGTTTTAATATATATTATTTTAAATATTTAATTATAAAAACATTAAGTAATTATATTTTTATATCACGTCATTATCTAATATGATACAATATAATCAATAGTATTTTAATTAACAATAAATAACCAATCCTTAGTTGTGAAAGTATATTGATTCTAAGTTTGATTAAATATAATAAAAAATAGATAATTATTTACATTTTTTGAATTATTTAAAAGTTTTTTTAAATATTATGATCAAAATATATCAACTATATGAATAGAGAATTAAAATGCTGACTTTATGTACAATGAGAGATTGGTTAAGGTGGGGATTGAAAATCCCAAAATCTGGTCCTTAACTTAGGAAGGGATTTACTTAGGAAAGGATTCATGTTATTTAATTTATTCATGTAAATCCGAATAAGCCAATAGTCCAATGATCGACGGCAGAGGTTTAGTAGAAGTCTCGAATTTCAAAAGTTTTAAATTTTATAATATATTTTATTTTTTAAAATATTAAATTATTAAAATAATTATTTTATAAATATTATCTTTATGCTTAAACACGCAATCTTGATTATGTCACTGTCAATAGTAATGGATTTTCGCCTAACTTGTTGGGCTTACATTGTTATAATAAAAGTTGATTACTTTAATAAAAAAGGACAACAACTGGTAATGTAATTTAATAGAATCAAATGGGTCAAAATGCTTTGGCAGCAGAGTAGAAGTCATGACATTTGCATGTAAAAGGCTCGGCAAGCGTCGGTGTGGCCATCAGGCATTCGACTCTTGCAGTGTGAGGGGGAACAGAGCACCGCACCGTCTGTCACCGCCCTTCACATTTGTTGTTTTCCGTTCCAGCACGTGATAGCAACTTCCCATGGTTTACAGTGTTGCCTTGTTGGTCCCCCTCCCCCATGGCTGCCGCCTATGATTCCCGCCTAGGAGCCTATGCTATCTGGCTGGGCACAAAACTTTGGCAAAAACCATTGAACTATATTTACTAATTAAGGTTAACTTTAAAGAGTTGAAAAGATTCAGCAGTTCGTGTGTTTTCTTCTCTTTTTTTCTTCTTTTTTGATAGATGTGATTCGACAGATTTTGTAAAGGTTTTGGATTTTAAAATTTATTTATAATTTATGATTTATCTAATTTGATGTATTTATTAAACAATAACAAATGATGATTGATATTTTATAAAAAAAAATGCTGAAATGTTCTTTTAAGAAAGGTTTATTTATATCTTTCAAAAAAAATCTAATTATGTATTTATCATTTAATTTTTCAAATAACTTAATTTTAAAAAATTATATTTTTATCATCAAAGTCAAGACTTTAGTTGTCATGGGTTGAAACTTAAACCTAATCTAATACGATCTTAAATTATGAAAATAAAACTTAAATAAGGTTATAAATCACGGATTTAAGTTTTCAACCCAAAAAACATATATGATAAGCAATGGAAGACCAACCCACCCCATCTCTTATTATTGTGAGATTTGTAATATTTTATCCTATCTAATTATATAATCCAGACTCTTACACTAATTTGAATATGTTTTAACCTTTATATTTCTCATAAAAGCCCCAATATCAGTGAAGATCTAAGTTTGTTCTAATACTAAATGTCACGAGTCAAAACTTAAGGTTAACCTTGTGCGGTTTTAAATTCTAAAAATAAAATTTAAGTAAGCTTATAAATCACAGACCTACATTCTCAATTCAAAAAACATACTTGATAGGTAGTGAAAGATCTATATTTATATATTTAAAACTTACCTCATCTATGATATTTTATCTTATCCATTTATATAATGTTTTTATTGTACTGACTTTTTACCTGTAAAGTATAAAGACTCTTACACTAATCTGGGTCTACTTCAACCCTTTTATATCTCATGGAAGCCTCACATAAGTGAAAATATGAGTTTGTTTTGATGTTAAATGTCACGGATCAAAATTTAAACTCAATCTTGTGTGGTTTAAAATTCTGAAAATATAATTTAAGTAAACTTATAAATTAAAGGCAAATATTCTAAATTCAAAAAATATGTTTGATAAATGATGAAATATCATATAACATAGTATATTAAAAAAAATGCCACGTAATAAGTAATAAATGTGTTGCCATGTAACAGAAGAGCTAAACATGAATGGATCTAAAAAACCACATAAGTGAAGAAGTTAGTTTTTTAACAATTAATTAATCAAAATATTAAATTTTACAATCTATAAAATAATAAAATGAATTTTTAAAATGGAATGATTATATATTTTTTTAAAAAAAATTAAGTGATTAAATTGATTCTTTCCCTTTAAAAAAATATTTTTCAATTTTGATGCAATGATTGATATTAAAGATTTAATAATAACAATTTCAATGCGTTGAATAAAGTGTTTGCTTGAAATAGTCTTCACATTAGCATTTAGCATGGCTTTATATATTTTATTATTTGGATGTTTACCAGGAAGTTTTTTAGTGGATAGATGTTGCACATGTGTACTTAGTTTTTAAAATAATTACAACTAATTCTTTCTTCATCAACAAGGAATTTTAATTAATTTTTTAAATTATTACACAAGTTTGATTAAATTCTAAGCATTTATAAAATCCAAAATTTTATTTACAAGATTTGAAAAATTCAGCTTGGTTGCAATATTTTAGTATTGAAAATGGATTTGATGTCTGTAGAAGAGTCACAAAGAAGCCAGGGGGATAGCTTCTTTTCAGCAATTTCTTTCAAAAAACATGAGGCAAAATCTTAATCTGAAAATAGTCAAAGTAGGGAAGAGATAAGGAAATTAAACCTGGCAAATATTCTGATAAAACTTTTGAAAGCTCCTATGTTCCATGAAATTTCCATAATTTGTCAACTTGGTTACATTTTACTAGTTATTTCAGTGATGTGATTACACTAATTTTGACTTTTAAGTCTCCAATTTCAATTGTTTTTAACTAGAATCTTCTATGCATTCATATGTTTTTTTTTCAGTATAATATCTAAAAAAAATTAAAATTATTTAAAAATATTTAAATAAATTTTTATTTTTTATTATATTTAATCAAAATATTATATTTTTATTTTAAATTAAATAAATATTTATTAATTAAAATATTATTTATTATTTTATATCATATGATATTTTTTATTTTTCACCCAACATCATGCGAGTAAAAAATAATAAAAAATATTTTTAATTAATAATAATTAATTAATTTTTAATTATAAGAACCTATTTGACTCTTATTAAAAATATGTTGATTGAGTATAACAAAAAAAAAAAGATTTAATTAATTTTTTTGAATAATTACAAATTTTTTTAAAACATTATATAAAAAAAGAATCAATGTTTGTTGAAAAGTCATGAAGAAACCAAGGATTGCTTTCTTCAAGAAAAGAAAATATGAGGCAAAATCTTAAAAGTGGGGATCTGATAATGGAATTAAACCCAACGAATATTCTGAAGAAACCTTTCAAGCTTCCAATGTTCCATGTAATTTCCATAATTTGTCAGCTTTAGTTACATATGCACTAGTTATTTCCAAAAACTAATTTTGACTTTGAAATCCCCAATTTCAATGGGTTTTTAACTAGAATTAGAATCTCTCAAAGGGTTCATATGAATGCTTCACAAAAGTTCATATGAATGGGGCTTGTGTTGATTTTTAAGGGTTGGAGGGATCTCTAACTGCTATGCTTCTTCCTGGGTTTTGTTCTGTCATAGGGGTCTGGTTGCTCTGAGATGTGGTTAAGTTAAGACTCCTGATCTCTTTAGTAACCACTGTCACAAGTTGTATTGCTTGTCTTAATTTTTGGGTCAGGCTTGCCTTTCTGTTGTGCTTGGCCATCTGCCTTTCCAGGCAGCTTGTTTATCTCATCGTTTGAAATGAATATTTTGATCAACAAAATTTCCATAATATTCTTTATTTAGATTGACCACATGTAGTTTCTTTGACCAAGCTAGAAAGGGAGAAGAGTTTCTAGATGAG